TCTTTTTTTTTCCGGAAGTTAAAAATTTTAAAAGGAAAATCCGGATTTTTAAAGTACTATTACTATTTCCAGCCCTGGTCATGTGATTTTATAATCCCGTGACACCAAAGTATGTTATTGCTATTTTGGGATTTGAAGATTTGGCAGTGTGCCGCAGCATTTGATGTCGCTATTACTATAATCTTGCCACAACGGATTTTAAATAAAATTTTCTTATTATTATGTGTCCCGTTCATCCAGTTTAACTTAGTATATTTGATTCAAATGACATTGTTGGTTCTAATCAAAATTTTAATGATTATTATTATGGTTCAATACTGTATGACCAATTTTTCTTAGAATGCCGCAAGTGATTATGTAAATGCATATTTCGGGACACTTCAGTAATAACTTATTTGCTCTCAAAACTTCATTATCAAAGCAATAAAGTTTAATGGATATTATTTTATATTGAAAGAGGTTTCCTGTATAAAATTACGATATTAGAAAACAATCACATATTCTACGCAAACTCTCCATATTCTATATAGAAAATATACAAGAGCGCGTGATAAGTGTATATTCTATACAAATTACCGGTTTTTGTCAATAATTTATGCAAGTTATACCTATATTGTGGCTTATTGTTTCTGATTTACCGTTTTCCGGATGGACTATTCAAAATATCAAGTTTTTACTTCAAAGCAAGATTTTCTTTTCAATTTTACTTTAAATGTCTTAATAATTGGTGAGAGGATACAAGCTTTCATACTGGTATTGTTTTATGATAATGTTTTCTATTAATAGCTTGGAAAGTTTATAGAAAAAACAATTCAATTGTCGATGCAACGGCAGAGATCATCTATCATTTGCCCAAAACAGATATTCAAATAAATTTGGTAATTTGACAATAAATTTTATTGTTAAACAAACTTCTAAACCCATAATACGCACATGCGTGCTTTATTTGGTAAAAATATAATAACATACATCAATGTTCTTTTTAGGGATTCTTTTATTTGGTGAACTTCGATGACACTATAAAAAAGCTTGTTTTGGTTTTTTTTTATATATATAAATAATGGGAGAATTCTATCAAGTAAAAAGCAACAAACTATCATTGTTTAAAAAAAAAAAAAAAAAAATGCACACAATCAATAATAATATTATCATTTTCTTGTTCCTTTTCTTATTCGTATTCGCAACAATGATCAACTCATTCCCGCATAATGATGTCAGAAAAAGAGCAGACGATGTTGCTAAATATACTCAATGTCCTGGTACCTTTCCCATCACTGTTATAGAAGATACATACACTCCAGCAGTAATTGTACCTGGTGTAAACATCACCCAACACATTATATGGGATAGCACTGTCGAAATTTCACCAAAAACCGTCCTTGACTTGACTGTCACCCACCTTGATGGCACATTGATATTTTCACATAAAGAGATTTATTGTACAAGTTCGCAGAAACCCCTTAATGTAGAATGTCCAATTCCACCAGGACATCTCGACTTTAAATCTCTATATCTGTACGCTAGTACTCCTGACCAACCTAAGGGTGTAACTACTGAGTTTCTCGCAAATCAAACTCGTAAGTTATCTATTTTTACTTATTGATTTGTTTGGAAATTGGTTCTTCTAATAATTATTCATTATCTCATTATTTAGTTATCAGCCCAGATGGAACTATTTTAATGTGTACAGAAGGCAAGGGCTCCATAGCATTTCCTTAGCCACATATATATATATTATCTAGTATTTTTTTTTATTAAATGTTTAAATTACAAATGTCAAAGGCGAAATGTTATAAAATTTTTTGTTTTAGTGTTTTAAAATCAGTCCAATAAAATAATTAAGTCACTGGCAAAATCTTCAGTCTAATGATTGGTCCTACCGGGCGTTTGAGTACTTGGTCAATCAATAAAATCCGCCGAATGTCCACTGAATGTCTGTTAAAATATAATTTATTTATTCATCAGAAAAATATTTTCAATACATTGCATATTTTTTTAAGAAATACAATCCTTTCAAATAACAATGGATTCAATTTTGTTCGTTTGGCTGTCATTGTGTTTCCAGCTTTACTCGCTTGTAGAAGTTTGCTGCAATGCATAAATATTTAGCTAATGACACACAGCTGGGTATTCATGTTATTTGATATATTATATTGTTGTAATAGAAATAATGTTGGTGATGGTTGCAATAGCGGATAAAATAGTATTTACATGTATTTAAAAAAATTTCATTTAATTACGCGGGTATTTTTTGTTAATACTCTGTACCACTGATTATTCACCAATTATCCAATAGTGTGTGGCTGTCAAGAAAAAAAATGAAGGTATTTTGAAGTAAAAATAATTATCAAACAAAAGACAAGCATGACATTGTAAATTTTTTAAAATTATTAAAGCAAAGAAAATTAGAATCTTCTCACATAACATCAACGGATTTACATATAACGGGAAAATGCTTTCATTTCTGAAACAATAGCAGGTTTCATTTAAATATTTGCCAATTACAACATTTGCAAAAATTTATAATTACAACATATACAATAATAATAAAAGATTGAAATAAATTAATCAAGACTCCTCACAAACAAATCCCTCTTCACTTTCAATCCCTTCCCCTTTATCCAAGTTTGCGCCCTCAGTAAAGTCAACGTGTTCTCTCCACCCAATATTATTTCCAAAAATGAATATGACATCATTTAATAATACTAATTTAACTTGCTTTCCTTTTATATTTACCTCTAACTCTCTCTCCTCCACTGTCTTGTGATAAAAATTATTTTTTTCATTATCTAACATCTTCGATAAAAATTAATTGTTTCAATATCAATATCATCTCTATCATTATCATTATTGTTATCATTGTCACTATTAAATACGGAATTTTCATGTTGGTTGATTCATTCATCACCATACTGTATAGACCCTCTCTCCACTCATATTCCTGACCAATATATGATATTTTTGTAAAAACAAAACTGGAGTCGTGATGCAGAAAGTTCTGACCAAACGAAAAAATTTAACAGCACTAAAGTTTTTTCGGATTAAAACTCCGGGAGGCTCCAATGCTATTGTAGTTAATTGGTTTTATAAAAAAATGTCTAAAGACATCAAGCTATCATTTGCTCCTGGCTTCATGAGTGCGAGGGGCTAATTATTAGTAAGAAGTTGTGCGGCTTTCGTATTACAGTTACTCAAGTATTTAACTTTATGGTTATTAGAAATACATTTGGGAAAGCTGATTAGGTGTCCCCAGATAGCACATAATCTTGAAGACTTCGACAGAAATTTGCAGAACTTGACTCTCTGAGGTGGGTATCATCTTCACAGTGAATAATATACTCAACGAGTTCACTGAAACAATTCAAGCATTATCAATATAAAACGTATATATTAATCAGAAATAAATCATGAGCACAAAATCTTTTTAAATTTTGTGTTTCACGATGAATAAAATCTTGTGGGTATAGTAGATAGTAAAATTAATAAAATATGTATTTTTATTTTCATTGTAAATTGCTTATTCGGTTTGATGATCCATTTTTTTTTGTATTTACGCATATATTTACACACATTAAAAAGATTAATAATGTGCTAATAAGAATTTACGATTATTATAAATGCGTTCATGTAAAGCCAGCTTTATTAATGAGGTAGAAATAAAGCTTTAAATTAGTGGAACGTAAAAATTTTAAAAGATTAACATAAAAATCATCAGTCATTTTGGCCAAGCAGAAATTACTGATGACTATGGACTATGAACTATCTACTATGAACTATCTACTATTGGCTCGTAATTAATTAATTGACATTTCAGAGCCTTGCTCATAAGAGTAGAGGCTGAAAATTGTTAATTAATTCATTGTAATGTTGTATGTGAAATTGAAATATTATGGAGTGGGGTGAAATTCTGATTGGCTAATTTGAATTTCACACATGTAAATTTGAATTTCACATATGTGAATTGCGAATTCACATAATTTCATTTTCACGTACAACAGTAACAAACATTTTTACTAATTAAATAATAAATAAATTCTTTTGTTTAATAAAAATGCTTTTGTAGTTAGAAATTAAACAGTAGGGTTTAATCATTTATATGGTTATCAGAACGGTATAGCCTAAAGTTTCTATTTGTAATATAGATTCTTATTCGAATACTCAATTCATAATGAATAAAAAAAATAATTTGAATAAACTTTATTCGAATCGAAACTCTATATATAACTCTGAGATTTTGAAAATTGGTTTTGGTTATTTGCTTTGGTAGAAAGCAAAGGTTTAATTTTTGGTTTTTGTTTAGTGTAAACATTTTTGTTTTTGTAAAGAATTTAATATGATCCGTGAATAAGTCGGTCTTAGTAATAGTGATCAGTAGAGGAAAAATTGACACAATACTTTTTAAATTTTTTTGGTGTGCAGCAATGACTTTTTGTCAAAAGAAAGTGGTATTAAAAAAACCTTAGTGTATGTTGCATAGTAACGTTACTTGGCTTGCATATTCCGGCTACTTATAACAGTATTTGACTAAGATTTAATTGTTGAACAGGAAGAGACAGAAAATTTTCAAAAGCAAATATTGACATTAAGAATGATTTATTTCATAATGTATAATAATAACGACATGTGCTTAGATCATTGGTTGCAATGTTCTGATATAAAAGAAAAAAAAAACTTTTGTATAAACAATTATTCTAATGTATATACCTTTTAGTCCAAAAAGGTGTTCGCTAATAAAACACATAACATATTTTACCCTAAAATATAAATCTTTAATTAATTATTAAACTACAAAGGGTAACCTTTGCTGTACCAGGCAAGTAACTACAACCTTAATTATTGAAACACATCTCAAGGGAATGCCTTTGAGATATAATTATTTACATAGAACCTAGGAATCCTTTTATCCAAGGGGGTAAAAGAAGTTTTGACTGTAAAATGGTAGGTGAAGGACTGTCCTAGCTGTGTGTCAAAATACATTGGGACTAGCCAGACAAAGAGTCAAAAGCTAGTGGATTCAACTGTAAAACAGTAGGCGAAGAACTGACCTAGCTTTGTGTTGAACATAAAATAACCTATTAAATAGGAAACTCGGATTGCACACTCGCAGCATATAATATATTATTCTATAATCCAGTTTTCTTTGAAAATTGTCATCTTTGAAATAATAATAAAAATAATTTTTTAATAATAGTTATTTATGTATGTATATATTATATATTATTTTTATAATCCAGTTTTGATTTGTTTTTCTTTGAGAATTGTCATCTTAAAATAATAAAAATAATGTTTATATATATTATTTTATAATCCAGTTTTTTTGTTTTCTCTGAGAATTGTCATCTTTGAAATAATAATAAAAAGTAGTTGTTTTAATAATAGTTTAAATATATGTGTGTATACGTGTGTGTGTTATATATGTTATTTCTTTACCTGTCTATATATTAGTTTATGATCTAGTTTTGTTTTCTTTGAGGATTACCTTTCAAGATTAATAAATATTTTTTTTTGTATAAAATTATGTTTATAAAATTGAAAAAATTCGGTACATATTGAAATCCTTCAAAATCAATGATCTCCCTTGATCTTTTTGTCCAAGCCTTTTAACCAACGAAAAGTATATTCAAGCAAAACATCATTGTTTTACAAGTAGTTTTTAATCACCTGTATTATAACACCAGCCTTTTCTATTTTAAAACAATTGAAAATATGCTGTTTGCACAGCATAAAAAAGATCTGCATTCAATTTTGTCACGAATGTCCATTATGCTGTTTCACGGATCACGAATTAACTTTATTTCAGTCTGGGATTATACCATAAATGGAAATTGATTTTCGAATTTTGATTGGCCATTCAAAGGTTTTTTTTGAATACCAAAAACCAATAATATTACATAGAAAATTTTTTTAAAAAAATATATAGTAGTTTTTTCCCTCAATATGAGCCATAGTTTGGCTTGAATTTTCAATTATTTGCTATTTTTTTTTTATGTTTTTTTTGTACAGTGCCCAGATCTTTAATTCTAATTATACACATGATGGTGAATACAAGACAACTAGTTAAGAATTTAAAATGTTTGTTTGAAGATATAGTTGGCAAGTATTCAGAGGCCATGTAAACTTGACTCACAAACAGCAAATGGATGATAAGCAGGTAAAGAAATAAATATATATATATATATGCATAGACTTTATTTATATCCAAAAAGTTTACAAATTAATTTATAATTATAATATATTTCATGACACTATTTATTAGTTTTATTAATTTTAATAACAAGATTCCTGATGCAATGATAACTCAAACATTTCATCAGTATATTTAACCATTATGAAAAAAGTTCTTGAGTTTTTATGGTAATTTTATGATTATAATCTGAAGCTATTGATTATTTTTTGATAGACTTGTAAAGCAGTTAAAAATAAACATAATACAGTCAGACTCCTATATAGTCACACACCTCGGGACCATAGTGAAATTTCAAGAATTTTGGTGACTATAGTGTTTGTGACTATACAGGACATGCTTTTACTATGATTAATTAGTAGCAGGGAATTTTTCAAATTAACAAAAAAATGTTACTATACTATGTTGTGACTATATAGGATGTGACTATATAGGAGTCTGACTGTACATAATTTTGGAGGTTATATGACCATTTAATAAAGCCTTCACCAAGTTTTCTTCATAAAAAAGCATTATTTTTAATTTATTTTATTTT